GGTTTGTCGCAACGTGTCAATTAGACACGAGAAACGGATGAGTGTTAAAGTCGACCACTAATCACCAGGAGGAGACGAAATACGCGTAAATGTTACATCGTCCACCGTACGCTCGCCAATGGCGTGTAACGAAGCTCGCGGAGGCAGGCCGTTGTCCGACGCCTTAGAAATTCTTTAATGACTTTATGTGCGCGGCACACACGAGCAAACGACGTTTAAGCTTCGTCGCGGCCGTATTCTCGCCTGGCGTCTTTTCACGATCCTGCGTCGCCTCCACCACGGCGTGTTCACGGCCGAACGAAAGCCGATCGTCCTGCTGTGAGAACCGGACCGGATGTTACCTTCCAATTACAAACTTGATCCCGCATCTGTATCTCGGAGAATCTTCTTCTGGACCCCTCACTCTCCAATTTTACTTTACACCAAGAATTTTCTTTATATTATTTCTTTGTATTTGATTAAATGAACACCTACCGATTGAATTTCAACACGAGCTCCTATTATATGTATAAACGAAAAATCGTAGACGTCCAATTACCAGTAGGCTGTGGATATTTATGCGAATGCCAAAAGAGCAGAGTCCAGGCAAAGATTTGTTTTATCCATTACATATTATGACAAGTATCGTTCTTTGGATATTTCGTACTTTCACGTAAATGCATAAAAATTCGCTGTCCATGGACAGAAAGATTAAAAAATTAGAACATATACATACTTCTGTCTGAATCTTAAATCGCATATGTTCATTGTGTTTTTTTTTTTTTTTTTTTTTGTTAATCTAACGTAGTTACTATGTTGCTTAAAGTCGACAGGTCGTACAAAGCAAGATAATAAGCATCAAGTCGATGACAATTACTACCAATCAATGCGTATTCTCGTATCTAAAGAGGTAAACACTTGGCAACAATGAGTGTTAATAAAGTGTAAGCGAGGCTTCAACTGAAATAATGGATAAACACGTGGGGACAAGATTACAGCTTCGGCTCCCGTATAACCACTGTCGAACAGTCACGATAAATAAACTAACGCGAAGCACGAACAACGATGTTCATCGTGTCAATTAAAATATACAGATGGTCAACGTGGTATATGTGTATAAACGGTTTTTCACTAGTCCCCGTTCAGTTGGTAACTCTTCGCAATTCGTCTCAATTGCATTCAATTTGCGTCTAAACATTTTATCGCGCAAATAGAAAGGGTTATCACCGCCGGGATAACTCTTACTTATTGCTGCCACTTTCGCTACGTCAAGTACCTCGTGCTATCATACCACTAGCCGATTAATTACTCACTACTCAGACGCGAATATCGATCGAGTCGGAAAGAATTGCGAGAGTATCTCGCAGTTCGTCGACTGATTGTTACATCGAGTATGTGACACTTATTAGTTTCTCCCAAGGATCCTGTTCTGACGTTCTACGAAATCTACTATAGATATCCTTACTTTTAATTATATTAAGCAACAGTTTAGCTCCGACTTCTTCTCTTCAGATTCCTTCTTTCATACGGATGATAGTCCTCGCGAGAGGACTTTTAGACTCGTCCAAAACGTTAAATCACGTTGACCACGATTACACGGAAAAGAAGAGCCGAAGGTATAGCAAGAAAATAATCAATAAGAGCTCGATAACATTCTCCGATTACTGACTCATTTTCGCCCGTTCGAGTCTTTTCTTGGAAACAAACGTAAACTAACGTTCGGCACGCATCGAACAATTCTGTGAAACAAATCTGTATGGCGACTAAACCGGTGTAACCACTATAGGAACCATCGTGTATAACCTACAATTCGCGAATGGAAAATACGTAAGTACATGAGTTCCCTTACCTCACGGATCCTCGTGAACATCGCTCATACTCGTTGTTTGATTCAAAGCTTCAGCTCTGCTGTCGCTCCAATTCACCGAGGATAGGAGACTCGAAGAATCGAGAGGACACCTGACATTCCGGACGAACACACAACAGTGCGCACAACAGACGCGTACTCGTCGATCATCCGATCGCAACTGCAGCCCTTCGGTGTGCCAGTGCCGGTTCTGTTGCCGCTGTGAGAGTAAGAGGGAGGGAAGCGACGGCGAAAGAGCGAGACGAACGGATGCGAAAAAAAAGGAGAGCGAGAAGGAGGTGTTATCGAGACGGACGAACCTCCTGCTGTTTCACCAACCGACCACGCTCCGAACTGACGGCCACTATATTGTGTATTTCACGTATGTACCGGCGTACACTAAACGCCACGCGAGACGCGACTTTGACAGAGATCACTCTCGTTACTCTCAGACTGTGAGTCGAAGAGAGATAGGCGATCGTTCACACGCGAGTCTCGCTACGAAGATGTATACGTCTTGCTCGAAAGATTATATATATATATACGGCCCGAGAGACAAGCTACTTTTCTTTTGACTGCCTTTTCTCTTTTTTACTTTCGTAGTTTTTGCAGCTCGAACCCCCTTTCTTTTGTCCGTCAATCACCGGGAATACCACGTGCAAACCGCCAATGCGTACCGGCTCGGCAACCGTGCACTGTAAATACACGCAGAAATGTGCATGCGTACGAAAGCGGAGTTACGACGCGCATGCGTTTTACACGCACCCACTGGGTGCAATCCCCCGAACAAGTACATCGGCCAAACACCCCCGTCGGCTCGTGTCGGTGTTCTTCAACCCCATGACTACCCCCTCCATTTAACCCCGCGCGCATTTACAGAGCAAATCCCCTCGACTACGAGGATACCTCCCTACGAACCCCTTAATCAATACTCGCCGTTCTCTGCCGGCCAGCAATACTATCCTTCGTATCCTCCTCCCTGGACCAACTTTCGGCATCGTCGAGCTACCCCTTATCACTTCGTGCTGTCGAGAAATTCGATTCTTTGCGTGTGTGCGTACGTTGTTCAAGTTGGATGCTTTCAGTACTTTATTTGTTTACCTTCTAGAGAAATAAGAAATATTAACAGAAAATATATGGAAGAAAGCATTAGAAGATCGATGGATAATTTTAACGTTTTCTTCTATTTATACAGTTGCAGGAAGAAATATAATGAGTTGAAAGTTCTGTGATTAATTGAGTTTTATTATGATTGCGTGGTTATTAATTTAATATAAAGTGAATAAAGGAGAGGAGATGTAATATGCACAACAGGGATGTGGGGAACAATTAAACGGTAATACACGTGCGTGAAGAAAGTTCCGAGGGTGTGATGGTTCCCCAAAGAATAGCGTCACGATCCTGCAAATTACTTTATTAGCCGCGTTACCTGGCGGAAGAAACCTCTTTTCATTCAGTAGCTGCACTCTTACTCGTACTGACGTATCGTAAAATATTATAGCGTGTTCGAGACTAGAATAAGCATGCATTGAAAACAGTATTTTCATTGCTCATGATGTAAGGTACAGTTAGAATATTTTAGCATATAATGTATAAGTTCTCGTTGAAATTTAGATTTACATATTAGATACTGTTTTCAATAAAACTATTTATTATTGAAAAATATTATTCTTTTAATACGTAAAGCATTAGAAAGTTATATTGGGAAATACCAGATCCCATTGTTCGTGATTACTTACTAGTTAAAATTCATACAATTATAAGAAAGTAATTTCATTTAACGCGGAAACTAATTACAACCTCCTGATTATGTAAAGGGCGTTGTAATCCACGAATTATTAGCCCTTTTTATAGGGAGCGCTAAGTATACTTGAGGCCTGAAAAACGTGTCTACAGTGCCGCGCCCAAGTATACTCATTTGTGTAGCAGGCGTTTAAAAAAGCCTCAGCAGCTTGGGATTCCGAACGATTTAGCTCGTTTATCATTTATTATCGATGGTAAACAAATATCCTCACTTAGATACAGATATACATCTTTAAAGCATAGTGATTTAATTGTAAAAAAAAGAGAGTAGAAATATAAAAAACAAATATCTTCCCCAATAACTAACATTTAATATTAAGTAGAATAATTAAGAAATATTACACTCTTTAAATTTATCATAATAAACTGACAAATTATCAGTAAATGTATGTTTCGATAAGCCACTCACCAAGCATTATCTCACAAATTCAATTGCGAGGCTCACGAAACATATCATGAAATATTAGCACTTTTTTCGATTTCGCGATTCGCATGTAACTCCTCTGTTTATTATCTGTATTCCACTTGTTCAATTTGTAATGGTAATATGTATATATATCATACAATATTATTTCCGACGAAACTGTCTATAAATACTTTAAATCGATTTCAATATAAAATAATATACAAGTATAATAGATAGAAAATTAAAACATATACTATGTACTAATTTATAATGTGCTGAAGATGAGTATAAGAATAAATTGAAAATGAAAACAATGATTTATCGGTACCAGGAACTACCATTGTCGTGTCTAAGAAACTTGCCCTAAGCTCTACCATGCACCGATTATTACATGTATGAATCATACTTCAAAAGTTATTGTTGATTTACTATTTTCAAGATCAATTATTCTGCAATCTTGATAAATTAATTTTATTTATTGTTTTCTTCCAAACTGACATTAATGTAATTCAATAGTTTTAAGAAAATTAGAATTATGCTTTATGGTATGTCATTCTATTTTTTATAAGATATTATATATATGTTTGACACTTTATCATGAATAATCCGGCTGTAAAGAAATCTTTCTCATACCTGAAAATATATACCCTGTACAGTTTGTAGAGCGCAACCTTTACTGTATTTCACCTGTTCCTCTGTAGATAGCGCCACCTTTACTGTAGTTCACCTGTTACTCTGTAGATAGCGCAACTACAAGTTTAAAATTTTAATTTCAAAGTTCCAAAATAATAGAATAATTGTGTTTTAAATAACTATACAGGCACTTTAAATAATTAGTTATTGAATCCTAAGTATATATTGTAATGATGCAATGATTTTTGTTTTCTATATATGCTTGCAAACCGGCCTTTTGTAATAGTTTAACTGGATGACGGAATTTTGAACACGCCTTTCTTGTTAATGACTATTTCAAGGGTGTATTTCCTACCTTGGTAAAATATTATTTTAGTCTTAATTTCTAACGTGTACGGTAGCGTGTCGTGTTGTTATTTATTAACTAAGTAGTTTGAATTATACTACAAGTAGAAATTCTTTGTAAAAGTTATATAATTATAAAATTTAACAAAAATGACATCAAAAAATGACAACAAAATTATCGAAAAAATCAACTCCGAAAAGTATATTACATACGATATTCTAACCTTTAATAAAATAAATAGTTACTTAATTGATGTAACCTGAATTTTGTATCTTTATAGTGAGCAGCCTAGTAGCAATAAAAGAAAAAGCTATATAGATTGGGATGATTATTTTATGGCTCTCGCCTTTTTAAGTGCAAAACGTAGCAAAGATCCTCGTACTCAAGTTGGAGCATGTATAGTAAATGAACAGAAGCAAGTTGTAGGTATTGGATATAATGGAATGCCCAATGGTTGTAGCGATGATGTTTTTCCTTGGACTAAAGAGTCTGTCGATCCATTGGAAACAAAGACTTTATATGGTGAGCTAATAACATCTCATTAATTTTCAAGATGATTATATTTGTATTATATAATATAATGTAATATTGTATTGTAACAATGATAATAATGAATTTGCAGTATGTCACGCAGAAGTTAATGCTATTTTAAATACAGGCTGTAAAGATATTAAAAATTGTACCATATACGTTTCTCTATTTCCATGTAATGAATGTGCTAAAGTAATAATACAGTCTGGAATAAAAACAGTCAAATATGTGTCAGATAAATATGCAAAGAAGAAAAAAATTCAAGCTGCAAAAAGAATGTTCGATGCCGTAGGCGTTACATACAGGTATTTGAATTATGCAGATTGCATATATTTATTCTTATTAAATTTGTATAAGCGTCAGATTATGGCAAGAAACCATAAGACTTGTATTACTTGACATGATTTATTTCCTTAAAATTATTAATTAAAATTCAAATTTCTAGTATTTAATACATGCGTTTCAATATGTGCAGAATGTACGTCTAAACTGTATTAACATTAATTCATTTAGAATATTACGCTATTGTTGTAGTATTATTTAATAACATTGTAAATCTTTTTTTCTAGCAAATATGTTCCTAAGCACAAAAAGTTAATTATTGATTTTGATGAGATTGACTCTACTGAAGATAAGGAAATAAATATTGAAAATGGAAGTAGTTGAACAAAAATAATGTAAGTGACAAAGATGACAATGTCTGTAATGAAAAACTTTCCAGTGTATATATTCATGATTTATTTCATTTTTTAATGACATTTTGTAGGTTTAAATCTGTAATATTAATTCTTTAACATAAACATGAATTACAGTTTTACTGTAAAAAGACTGATTATCATTATTTACATGCAAAACTAAATTAGGTACAAATGGAAAATAGAAATACCCCTATTTTAAATTTTTACAGGTCTATTTGTAGTTTTAACATTATCCATATAATATGGAAAATAAATAAAACAATGTACAGAAAATGAAAGAATTTAGCAATAATACAAAGATACTATACTTTTATCAAGATGTAATATTATCTGCAACAGTATTGCAAACGATGTACTGTACAAGTGTAAATAGTAGTATGATCAAATATGGCATGGTAGAAACATGTAACAAGTGTGTATCATTTCCATGATAAAATAATATTTCAATATCATTTTTTACAAAACGACTGAAGGAGAGGCGATTGTTGATACGTGATATAATATTTTCATGTTGACTTGTTATTAATGTAACAACAAACAGGAATTGAACACAGAGTTTTGATGCATACGATAATGATACGTTTATATACATACTATACATATCCATGTTCTTGTCTTTAAAATATTACTTCACGTTTGTAAACACCGCTATAATGAAGAAAAGTTACATAAAGAAAGTAATTATACGTGATGATTGAATTCATCATATAGAAAAATATTTAATATTGTAAAAATGTATGGGTATTTTATATATAAACACAGATATTAACGTTTGTAAAAAGCGTACTTGGCTATAAACGTTATCCTTTAATACCATAAAATTTGGGCAATTTTTGCACAAATCATAAACTATTCAATCTGTAAATAGCGGTTGCAGAAAATATAATAACAGCTTATTGCAAATGGCAGTATATTACTAATACAATGATTAAAGTAATAACCACATTTAAATAATCATTGACTTCATTTTCCAATTTTTATTCTTTTCTGTTTTATGTCCTTTTTTTATAGTCTTTTTAATTCGAATAACAAATCACCTTAGAACGTAATCGTATACGTTGAAAAATTTTGCATGAAGCCTATATGATGAATTCATTTACATGAGGAGATGGAAGAGGATATGGGTTGAGGTACCCATGCTTATCGTTTGCTCGTACGATTAAATCAAGGACTCAAAGGCAAATCTAAACTGAATCTTCTAAAAATTAATGTACCATCCTTAATCAACATTGTTTATTTCTTAAAGATTTAATAATTAGTTATGAGCGGAGTAGAAATTTTTATACTGAGGTAACAACCTCCGATAAAGATTGGAGCAATTAATATATATATAATATATATATATATATATATATATCTTTTTTTCAAAATGTAATAATTATGCAGGAGTTTAAGCGTACTGTAAATAATGTATTATAAAAAAAAAATAGTATTAAAAGATAGCAACACTTCGGTAGATGCATGGTCGAAAAGTTGAGTATGACACGAATGGTGCATGATAATATGCATTAATTTTTCTAATGATAGTCTTTTACAAGAAGAAACACTTCGTATATCGATAGACTAGCATGGTGGTCATATCATATTTCCTTTGCATTGTACAATAATTAAATGACTAATGGTAAAGTGAATGAGTAAAACTTCTACATTATCGCTTATGTTACGACATTATTTATGTAGCCCTGAGAAACATTCCATGCATTTACAGAAGGTATCAGTTTAATCAATACAATTATGTTCATTATATTTTGATAGAAGATTATTCCATCGATTAACTTTGGATGTACGTATTGAGTTTTTGTCCATTGTATGTTACGAATGAATTGAAATGTTAAATATACATTACTATGACTTGATGCAAATATCTTATTTTTATGATTACCATTAAGTCGACTTTGAATGAGCTTTCAACATTGGCATAATATTAACTAATCGCAAAATTATACTCTATGACTTAAATAAGATAGGAAATGTGTGTGTATATGTATTTATACATATATATCGTTAAAGTAGTAGGTGAAATATATACAAACATTATCACTAGTTTTTAGTATCTGTATCTTATTGAATTCTTTTACTTTTTTTTCATTCAAGGAAACTCACGACTTATAAGTATGTACTGGTATTTCAAAAAATAAACGAGGCAATCATAACATAGTTCGATTTGTATCGGTAAATTTGAACATTACCTTTTATTAAAATTTCTGTAATCCGTTGACATACAGATGTATGATATTTTTTTCGTTTGCTTGTTTTGCTATTGACACTTATTGTTTTCGATTTATCATATACTTTGGTAATCTGCGTACACAATATATGCACTTTTATTGTTCTTATAATAACTTTCACAGAGACTTTCGCAAATGGATGCTATTTCCATATTGACTGCTATCTCGATGGAATATCAGGGCTCCAATCCAAACGTAGATTATTACCCTGGCTTTAAACACAGGAATAAAATCGTGTTTCTAGAAGAAAAACATTAGATCGTTCACTTGACAAGTTTGAACGGTTTTTGCGAATGAAGTGAACTGGAGAAGTTAGTATATGACTTGGAACAAAGTCTATTCTCAAAAAGTAGCGACGAACATGCGTGGTACAATTATCGGTGCTCGATGATCGTCTAGTTTCTCAACTCTACACAGTAGAGTATTTATGTAGACATCGCTGAAAATAGTACACCTTAACATCAAGTAGAAATATTCATAGAACGCGCATACGAATGTATACAAGTCTTGTATTTTGTACCAATGTGTTAGTTTACGCACGTCATATATTTTACACACTGTACTTCACCCCATCCCTCCCTGCCCTGCCCCAATCCCATCTATGCACTAAACATTTTCACACTTTGTCAATCCTTCTTTTCAACGTGACCGCTCTGTTGATAGAGTGCTCGTTTAATTCGTTCTGTTCCAATTGTTAATTAATATTTAGCTAAAGCCATCCTTTTCTTCGTTCACCTAAAATTCGGGACCGTGCCAGAGGCGCTTGTCTCGCGTCCCATCATGTTATAATTTATTATTAAAGATTATTTATTCAGCACTGTCCCAGCACTGTTCACACTACATGAATCTTCCCAGGAACAGTTCGTATATAATACATGTTTAATAATTATCAATATTAAATCCGCCAATTTCGCTTCTTCTTTCACTACATATGTTCATTCGTCCGCGTGCCTTTTACATTCAACGTTAGTTTCTTTGCTCTTTTTTTTTGTTCTTTTTCTTAAACGTAGATCAGAGCGAATCTCAGCACACTCCTCCTCCATTGCCTCGTCGTCTAACTACGCAATGATTCGCTAACGCTGGATAGCGCGTGCCTGGATCAGTTCTTGATGGAATTCTCTTTCTCTTGATGCTTGATCGTCACCGTCAGCTTTGTCTCCGGCGGTCGAAAAGCGGTCGCGTATGGGAAGTATTTGTGACATTTCGCCATATAGTCGGCGATTGTAGAGTCGCAATGGCCAAAGTCACCATTGCGCAACGATTCCAATACTTTTGTACAATTCTGTAGTGTTACACCTTCGAGATCATCAATGTTTGTGGCGAGGGAGAGAGCCTTTGTTTGAGCGGACGGGTCCAGGACGTACAACATCCTCGCACCCTGAAGCAAATGCGGCAGTGAGTTTCGATTCTTTTTTAGGAATTCCGCGTTCAATTGAGTGGGCGTTGAAGTCGAGTAGATTCCTGCAGTTTGTCGCTTTACTACCTCGCCTACTGGTCCTTCAGACGGCGAGCGGTTAGTATGCAACATGAAACGTACCAGGCACGTGTGGAGGTCCGGATTGTTAGGATCTAGACCATGCGCACGTTTTATCGACCTTAACATTAACAACGTACGACCTGCAAAAGGCGTTTAATTTTTTAAATGAAATCTAATAGTAAAATACATTGCTTTAAAAATCAATGATTATTTGCAACTATAATTATTAATCTTTTTCTTTAACAAGAATGTTACAAATGATTTGTGTCACCAATGCTGTACTGCTACGTACCTTTACGAATGTATATTTCAAATGCCATAAGGTGCGTCTCTATTCTGTTCGATGCCAAGTCTTGCAGTGGTTGTAAAAATTTGATTGCTTGCTCGAGAGGATCCTCAACCTGAAAATAATAGCTCGAATCAAATTTCATATCATATCGAGGACATTAACTCGTCGGATTTACACGATTTACTGACCCTTTCCAATTTCTCTGGTATAAGTTCATCTAGCGTAGGCTGTTCTAAATCGGGATCGGTCTGTTGCCGCGACTTATTGTGCTGTTCCCTCTTTTCTTGGGCTTGGGCAGCCTGTTGTCGTTCCAGTTCAGCCTTTCTACGTTGTTTTCTTTGCTTGTTTCTCAATTTCTTCAATTCTGATGGCGCTAGATTTTCTGTAAAATGAAAACGAAAACAAGTTATTAACATGCACGATTACGATGGTAATAATATTACCGATAAATTGAGTTGCTATGATTGAACGAAATATAAATCCAGTGATAAACTTGATAAACAGCCGTCATTACATGATACATCAACGATGTCGAACACTATTCTTGTCATTGGAAATTCATTTGGAGAGAATTTCATCAATTCTTAGAAATTACACTCATTAGGAATTCCCTTAATTCAACCCTGCTGTCTATAGGCAAAGAATCAAAATGCCAATTCATCGTACCCTAATTGAAAGATCTAAACTCGTTCAATTGCCCTAAGGCTGGAAACACGCGTTTATTCAACGGTTTATTCAATAACTAGTTTACGAGCCGCCTTGTACCTTTTTTCCAGCGAGCGCACGTAAATTGCGTCTAACAGCAGAAATTCCCCTGTTGTCCTGAATTTTCAAGTACCGTAATATCATCGTAATTGCAGCAATGATAAATACGTGAACGCTGAAACTGTCCCCGACGCGGTTTCGACACGCACACCACTTTTACCGGCGCGAGCTCGCCCGAGCTGTGTCGAACCAAGGTCAAGCGGTTCCGTCGCGCGGCAAAAGCGATTCCGGTCGGTTTCGCAAAACGTTTTCTAACTTTTCCTCGCCTCTGGTCGTGGTCAGACCTACTGACAGCTGTTTGTAGGTCTGGCATGCGTGCACGTGTCACGCGTGCACCGCGGTCACGTGCAGTCCCGCCGACACTACCCGTGAGAGATCGTAACTTACCGGAGGGAAAGGTGGAACCTGTCCCTATCGCGATCGTGATCGCGATCAACTTCCCGAATAGATTTTATAGTTTCAACTTTATAGTATAGGAGTGCTCTATTTATAAAAACGAAATATTAGTTGGCGACCGTGCCTTGTAAAATTTTGTCAGACCGTGCAAGAATTGAGTAAGACGGACCCCGTGTCAGGAAGCTTTTTTCGAGATCGATTTTTCCGTGAAAAAAAAGAAAGAAAGGTAATTACGCAAGCAACGTATAATTTTAATAAAAATATTCAAACAAGGATGCTAGAAGAGGTGGTTGCAACATCGTGTTTATCGATAGGATCGCCAGGCTTCTGACGAAAACTTTTCTTTTCTAATTAGATGAAAATTTGCAACGAGTCCCGGCATCGATCACTCTGATTTATAATTAATCGTGGAAAGTACTGTTCGAAGCGGTCGAGGAGGTTCGAGTTTATTGCGCTAATTCCCCTACACTTAACTTGCTCAGTGGGCATTAACGGCTTAATTACCGTCCTATTAATGCAGTTTTATAACACGAAAATCACTTGCGCGCTTTCCAATTATGTAAGGAACAGCCAATGCGTTATTTGGACGCGGTAGAAAGAGAGACTGGCTCTATGCTTCGTAAATTCGTGACTACGCACGTATGATTTTTTGTTCTTTTCCTGTAGCCATCGAACCATCTTCATCACGAGGTCTGATTATATTTGCAAACGATATCGAAACGAAAAAAATTTTGGAAGCAAGTAGAAACGAAGAATATTCGATAGTTCAATCGTGTGATGAAATAGAAATAATAATATTTACACAATATGTTATGCAGTTGTCTCTGGGACGATGTGTCATTTGATTCTTTTTTTTTTTAAATGTCTTTTGAGTATGATAACAAGCGATTATTATGAGATAGACGAGGAAGAAATCGATGAATTAGAGTATACGATCGATCTTAATTGTACACAATACATAGATGTTTGATTTATTCACCTTTGCTCGATCTCCACGATTTTGTTCGATTTCACCTTGAAGATGTAATTTGGCTTCCTTCCTTATATTCATTAAGCGTGTAAAAATAAAGATTATCATTGACTGTGTTTTTAAAACACACATATTACACCACCGTCAGATTGTACAATCACACACCGTGATAACGTATTCTACGAAAACAATGGTTAAAACAGTGATGATGACGTCCAACGAGAACACGACAACACGCGAATATTACGAGATAATCGAGAAAAAAATCAAAATGAGCTCTCAGATATGATCGATCATAATCGTGAACGATAGAAGTTTGGTTTCTTCATCTTTGTTCGATCTCTTCGATCTTGTTCCGTTCAATCTTGAGGATGTAATTCGGTTTCCTATTTTACATTTATCGAGCGTGAAAAAATAAAGGTTATCATTGACGATGTATTGAATGTATCCGAAACGTATCACGTCTCCAGCCTTGGGTTGCACAACCACGCAAAATGATAACGTAATTTGTGCAAACAATGGTAAAAACGGAGACACAGAGGATAATTAAAGACTTTGACGTAATCAGTGCTTATCTCTCTTTTTCTCTCTCGTCTTCATAAAATAGTCGACGAATAAATCTTAGCGCGTGTCATTCTTAGCGTTTGGACATCATTCGTGGTATTGCTGTCTTACAAAATCTCAATTTAACCCTGTTTTCCCACTATTTTCTACT